CAACCCAGCAGAGGGAAATGGTGAGAACCCTGTCCCTGAAAAGCAAATGGAAAAACATGTATATGGCTTATACAGAAAAGAGACTGCAAATAATTTTTTCTTGAGCCTTCACTTCTTTTCTTCCATGTCCAACTATTAAAACCTGACACAAGCTCTTTTTTTTACATTTGTGTAATAGCTAGCAGAAGGAACCCCACTGCAATTGTGCGTGCTGCCATGATTCGTGTGAGTGTACACACACATATACATAGATACATATATTTAATACTTTGTATTTCACTGTTGTGAAGGACAGAAAAATCTCATGTCAATACAGGAATATTAAAAAGAAAAATTTAAACCAGAACATGCTGCTATATGGAAATTTATATTACACTATTAAAAAACTATTAAAAGCAGAAGCGTAATATATAATACTGAGTGATGCGCATCATAGAATCATTTCTCAGAAACAGAAATAATATGAGGCCACAGATAACTGTGGTGTTGTCTGCTATTACTGAGAACATGCACCAGTCATTTGCACCAGAGATGGAAGAAAACTATTAGATCATAGTTCACACCCTGCAGATGGAATAAACCATCTTCTGCTGAAGAACCTCACAGATATTAAAAAGATGACACGTCACCATCTGAGATCCATCCCTAAAAGCTACACAAGTACACAAAACACACCCTGAACTGATCCTAGTGCATCATTTGAAAATGTCACTGGAAATGCTGCACAGGAAAGAGATAGTTATATTTCTATCTGCTTATAGCAGCGCTAGTACTGCGTTACTACTTATGAACTTGCACACACACAAAAATAATCCTGAAATATCACGTTGTTTTTATGTTCTGTTTAGAATAAATTATATATAAAGACAGGCCATTGCATGTTCCAAGAACAGTTCCTCAGAAAAAAAAATCTAAATCAAGATATTCACCTGTCACCCCATTCAACTTGAATAAAGATGAAACAAAGAGTTTGTCTTCCAGGCATGGCCATTAAGTCTTCTTTGTCCTTTTAAATACAACAGAAATCACAAAAAGTGAAAAAAAGTTGGGCTATAAGGACAAAGTTTATACAGACTGATTACTTTGAAATTTCTCTGTGATCTGACCAAGCCAATTTCTCACTAGTATAGCAAGTGCGACAACCACAAACCTTTCAAGAAAAGCACAAATCTCTCACTAATGGCTATGGGAAGGTCACAAGAGCAGGCACAAGATGATGTATCAGAAAAGACTAGGCTGATCTCAGGAGATCCCCAGATTGCTCTCTCCCAAAATTTTTCCTATTGTATCCAAAACCTATTTATTTTTCAGAGTTTCATCATATAAAAAAAGACAGGGGGACCTCTATGGCTTGCCAGTTCCATCACTGCCAGTCATGCAAGTCAACGGCCAGACCAGCCTTTTTTTTTTCAGCAAGTTACAATTTTTAATAAAATTTAATATGCAAAATTGCAGTACTTCTCAGGCCATATAATTAAAAAGATCATAAATTCTCTCAAACCAAAGCTGGCCTGATATACTTCAATACTGACTATTATTTTAGAATTTTAACTAGCATAAGACACAGGACAAAAAGAAGACATTAGGAAAGAAAATTATGCTTGTGAACTCTCCTAGGAAAGGACAGAACCTTCCTGAAGTGCTGGAACAGGTATGACCAGAAGAGGTGGGAAATTAATTACTTGGAAAAGCTCAAGTAAATGCAATTTTGAAGTTCAGAAGTTACTGCTTTTCTTTGCACTTTATAGGTGTCTGGACACTAGGAGGACACCAAGGCCACCTTAAACAAATATAGCCAGTCAGAGCTGGGTGACTGTCCTCAGATGTACATCCTTCCTACAAAATGTGAAGAGGAGCTGAAGGGAAGCAGAGGAAATCACAGGACTTGCCTTGAACACGAACACTTATTTTCATGTCCTGGGTCAGACGTTATCTGGGGCCTCTTACAATACCCAGAATTAAGTCTATCTTTTCCTAAAGCATGTCTTTGCCATCATCCTGGTTCTTTAGGGATGGTTCTCCAGCCCCTCATACAGTGGATTTTCAGTGGTACTTCTGGCCAGAGAGTGTCTTATTGATGGTACACTTAATCTGACCCCTGTTCCAAGTAGTTTATTTATTCCTTTGTTGTTTCTTTGTAGTTATTTTCAAAACATTATAACAATTGCAAAATAAAATGCAAAAACAACCTGCAGAGCCAGAACATGAGCCCAGATGTGCCTTAAAAAACTCTAATGCATTACATTACAGCTTTAAACTTGCCTTCCTTTCTCTAGCCTGGTGAGTTTTTAATCTCTTTACTGGAGAATGACACCATTTGAGTAAGAAATAGAAATAAATCTATGTGTATACAAAGCCTGACCATGAAGAGGCAATTATAATGCCTTGTGAACTGGATTTAGGGTAGAGATACCTAATTTTTAAGATCTCACAGAGTTTCAGGCATGAGGTGAAATGTGTATGGCTCAGGCCTTGCAGGCTGCAGTGGCTAGTGTGCTTGGAAAAGAGAGGCTAGGTACATGGGTAATTTTAACTGCACACAACCTCTCTGGTAATCAGCTCCAGTGCTTGACCGCCTGCTCACTAAAAGTTTTTCTTCTGTTTATGTGGAATTCCCTGCATTTCAATGTGTGACCACTGCCTCTTGTCCTGTGCCACTGGGCACCACTGAGAACAGCCTGGCTCCGTCTTCTTCACTCCCCCCCGCCAGGTAGGGATATCCAGGTACATGGATAAGATGCCCTCAGACAGATAACAATACTGCACTGGCCCCCACCAAGCTGAAATGACTCTACACTCAGTTAGTAGCTCAGACTTTAAGATGACAGACCAGCCACCATTAACATCTCATTTCCCTCTATTCCCAGCTTGTCTCTGAATGAAGAGTAGGATACGCTCCATAAACTTCAGGGGTCTGTTGGTGTCTGAAATGAAATAGTTTATAGTATTCACACAACACACATTACAAAATTACTTGATACAATAACTGAAGAGATCCAAGAGTTTATTGCCTTGTCAGATGAAAAAATTTATTTATGCTATTTATCAAGTGTTTAAATTTACACAAAAGACAACACTTCAACTTCAGGTCCAATTGTCCATCAGTAAGCCCTATATCAGAATACCTTACCTTGACACTTCCAAATACAATTTTTACAAGATGGCTTAGAACAGCAGAATATCACAAATAATGGCCAACAAACTTCACAAGCCTGGAGGTCACTACCTCATCAGTATTTCTCTGCTGAGCATGACCCGCAGAACACTGGAAGTCTTAAAACCATTTTAATCCCCAAACACTACCACTACTGCATTCAGAGCACTTAAATCACATTGCTCTCCATTAGTAACACCAAATATTATAGCTAGTCTTAAAGATTTACCACATCTCCCCCTAACAAAATGTCTTTTTTTTAACATAAAAGAACTGTGCATCAAAACAACTTCAAAATACACAATCATCCATTTGACTTGGTTTTACAATAAAAATAACATCAGTCATCTATTTGTTAACTTAATTTCTTGCATTGTGCTCCTTTCCCCTCCCCTCTCACTTATGACACTACACTAGACCAGGCAGTTTAATTGTAGCACTGAGGTAGCATATTTTAATTGAACAGAATAATAGGTCTGCTACTATGCCTCCTCTCCGTTAAAGCACAAAAAAAAATCCCCACAGTTTTTCAACTTCTTTGGAGAAGACAGGCATTTAATTCATTTCCAACAGCCACTCCACTTTGAATGCAAAGCACAAAGCATCTCTGAATGGTAGACACATTACACCAGCTAGAATGCAGGAGAACATATACAAGAAGAAGGAACTATGTCAGTTTTATTAGAATTATGGTTATATTTTAGCTCTATGGCACCTACTGTTCCCTATTATGAAATGCATCTTTACAGTCTCTGAAATTTCATTTGAAAGACTAGGATCCTGAAAAAGGGCACCTATGCCTCAGTTCTTCTAAGTAATTTTCACACTATCTGCAGAAAAGGTCAAACAATTGCAGCAAAACCAACAGAAATCAAAGGGACATAATATAAAATCAATAGGAGTTAGCAACATGAGTATATTAAAGGAATCAAAGTTAATGGAAAAGATATAACATGCCTGAATGATTATTCCACTCACTTAAAAGTTAAAGTCTCAGTCTCATAACAAATTGAGAATAACAGTATCTCAGCTTTGCCCTTCTGGATAAAAGCTTTCAAAGAAAAAGCTGAAGTCAAGCAATACCCAAGACTGTAGCCTTAACATCCAGACTGTTTACTGAAGTAACTCTTACAGACACCTGTATATCTAGGGGTGAATAGTAAACAGTGACCCCCAAAGAACAGTAGTCATTTTCTCCTCTCTATGCTATGCTGGTACACATAGCCTTGTTAAACTCTGTTGCACGGTACACAGTCCTCATCCAGCTCCAGGCTGGATCTTCGAATCCCTCCTCTCCATCTTTCACACAGCAAAGCAAAAAATTTACTGCAGTTAAGACCCCTTGAGTCAGCTACACGCATAAGTTAACACAGTGGAAAGCAGATTGAGAATGTAACTGAGCTGACTGCTAGACAAACCCTCAGGAAAACAAACAGCTGAGGGAAAATGCGTAAATTGTAATGACCAATTCAAGCTGTTTATGGAGACTTTAATGTTAGTCTTTCAAGTAATCCAAGATGCACTCCAACACCTGTTATCAAAAATTTAAGGCTTTCATGAACACCCTCTTACATACAAAATGAGTATTAAACAGAAGGAACTTGTTTACAGTAAATACAAAAATCTGAAAAATCTCTGAAACCTGTTTATACAAATACTAATAAATTCTTTAATATTTTGTACAACTAGAAGGTGCACAGATTGGCATTCAAGCGGTCAATGCTGGCAAACATCTGTCAGACAATAACGTGATTTACTTGGATAACAATATAGTTAAAAATGCCATAAATTAAAAAATAAGTTAGTTCACATTTTTTTTCCCCAGCTTTTATGTACATCTTAGTCTCTAATGAGATCGTGTAGCCTTCTTCAGAAGCTCAAGCTCTTTCCGTCGGCTTTTGATTGCTCTGGCACAGCCATACTCTTCCAGTTGTAAAGGGATATACTTTTCTATCTGAACGAGCCCATGCCCAGCAGGACCTGTAAACAGCTTAATCCAGGATGGCTTAAAGTTTCCTCTGAATCCCAGAAAGGCCAGGCTTCCTGTGACAAAAACAGCCCAGTGTTACCGAACCAGCCAAGCCCATCCAAGCACAACACAGGAGCAGCTGGGAAGGGAACGGCACGCTCCTCTGAAATTCTCACCCTCAGATTATTCAGGACATTAATCAACTCTCAGCTCCACGTGTATCTCACAAGGAAACATTGGTTTGCAATTTCCTTTTTTCAATATTCATCATTAAATATTCCAAAATCTTAATTTGGAAACAGAGCTATGGGGACAGTTACAAAACCTGCTTTCTCAGGCAGGACTTGTGCCAGGGCCCTGAACGTATGAGAGCTACCCCATGTGGTCTATAAATCGATCATCCCTCAAAATACCAACACCTTCTCATCTCTACCTTCAACTTTAGTTAGAACAGGAAATAATAGCCTGGCACAGGAGATTGTTCAGAAATAGATTTGCTGGATGAGGCACAAAACACAGGCTTTGCGAAAAAAGCCTGGGGCTCTTTTCCTGTAATCCACAGGCACAAAGAACTACTAGTCTCTTCTCTGCTTCAAATAAGCTTCACACAATGCCTTTTGGGGCCATCT